CCGGACCGCGGGCGCCTCGTGTCGGGGGTGGACAGACTTCCTGCCCTGACACGTCGACTAGGGGGGGGACCCTTCTCCACCTCCACCTCCACCTCATCCTCTTCCTCCTCTTCCTCCTCCTCCTCCTGCTCCTCCTCCTCCTCCTCCTCCTCCTCCCTCCTCCTCCTCCTCCTCCTCCTCCCCCTCCTCCTCCTCCTGTGAATTGGCCGTTTTCGGTTCGCGAGAGGCCGTCGCGGCCGTCATTTTTGCGGGTCCAGGTCCGTCGGCTTCGGTCCCAGGCCGTTTTCGCTACGGGGAGGTGTACTAAAGGCAGGTTTGTCCACCGCCGATCGTGGGCGCCTCGCGCGCCGGGCGGGCGTGCCGAGACGTCGCCCGGCCTGCACCGTGCAGGGTCTCGGGAGGGGAGAGGAGACACAGACGCAAGGAGTCGTCGAGTCCCCAGGAGGTATGGGGAGGTATGGGAGGTGGGCGGGAAGGCAGAAGCCCAGAAGATGTGGGGGAAAGTAAGGAGAATCGGGTTATATTTGTGCCTATTTATTGGTGTGTCCCAGTTCCCCTTCAGAGTCTCACTTCAAAGAAACAGATAGGACTCACCCCCCTCCCGAGCCCGGACTAAGCGAGCCTCCCTGGGGCACCGCAGATTACATGTGCCTCATCGTGCACGTCCCATGTGGAGTCTTACAAGTCCAGCCAACCGGAGATCGACACCCCCGACCCTTCTCTGTCTAATGATATTATGCGCACCCTCGTGTATATCAAAGGGTTATGTTGCAAGAACCCCTTGGGGAAAAAAACACGCGCGCATATATGGAAAGCATGCCAACACGCGTTGGTAGCACATGTTGGTAGATAAACATTGTTAAACAAATCACAGTAAACAAAAAAACAAGACGTTAGGTTGCGCATCAAGTATGTCAGGGCTTCTGTCCACGTGCATGTGCTGAAACCATGGGCGCGCAGGTGCTGAAACCATGAGAGAGCCATACGCTGAAAGTAAGACTGTCCAGAACCCGCACTGTCATCTCACCGCGCGGTGCAGCTGCGCTGATCCAGCACGAGCCCAATTCGTGAATCCGTACGGTGGGGGCGTTGGTTGAGGAATGTGCCCAAGAGGCTTCAGACCCTGGAGGATGCCCTATCTGATGACAGCGGCAGTGATATCCACGGCCAAGCCTCAATTGGTTTTCCACTGGCTTCCAGACCCTGAATTCCGTATCCAAGGGTTCCTTATCCAATGCCCTCAACGTGTCAAATAATTACAATACCATGTTGGCCACACGCGCGCGCAGCCACGCGCGCATGTCGAAATCCTTCCAGGACCAGTGGTGCTCTGGGCATGTCAAGCTGGAGTTCTTCAAAAAACTATGAACAGCCAATGGCCGTTACACACAAAGTCTGGCTGATGTCTTGGATGTCTGCGCGCGCGCACTTCCTCACCATCACCCTCGTTGGCGCAATCGCATAACTGCTGTTACCGTCGTCTCCAATCGCCGCCATGGCCACCATCATCAGCCAATCACCGTCATCACCCACACATAGACATCATCATCGTCACCGTCGTCACCAGCATCGGCGCCGTCAGTGGCCTTGCCGCCAACACCATCATCATCGCCACCACCATCGCTACGATCATCTTTGCCTCAGTTGCCGACGTCATCATGATATCGCGCCCCGCCGGGGCCACCGACCTGTGGTGAAGTGCCCGTGCGCAACGCTGGAAAGTTTCCGTTGGCAAGCGCCATCGCGGCCGCATCATTTGTGCCGAACAAGCTGACCGCTCTGCGCGCGAGCTTGCGCGCGCCAGTGCGGCCGCAGAGATGCGTCAGCCAGGGCCAAGCAGTCACCTCAATCGCGGCCGCATGGGTTGTGCTAAACAAGTTGCGGGTGGGAGTTTGAGATGATTGCAAGAGTAGCGGAGATGACAATTCAGGAGTTGCCAAACTTGAGTTGCAGCACAGATCATTACATCAGTTTTGCCACATAGCTTGCATCATATGGTTCACACCACACAATTGGTACCAAACCGCCCACGCAGCATAGCTTACACAACATTGAGAGCACCGCAGAATTTTCACCAGATAACCTACAGCACGCACAGCTTCACCAAATTGCTTGGGCGTACAGGATAGATCGTCCACCAAACATCTGCACCACATTGCATGTACCACAGACTTCGCACCACTGAGCCGTTTACCACAGACGTTGCTCTCCCCCTCCCAAACCTGGACGTACCCCGACCTTCTGGGACGCTGCAAATTAGATACGATTCTGCTTCACAATTCGTTTTCCACATGAACTCATACCACCCCTGACCAACACCCCCTCACGCCTATCAAAGAGCGCACACATGTCGAAGTCATGCAAAACACCCCAGTTCTGCAAGCGTTTCAATATCAGCCAGCGCAAATTCCAAATAGATCAGACGACTGAAAAGAAGTGGACTGGCGTAGAATGGATTGGAGGAGACTAGACTGGACTGGAGTGGACTCTACGCCACTCT